TTTTGAAAGCCAACTTTCTTCAGCCTCCAGAATATTACTTCCCTCCAATGACCTTAGTAAGCTTACTTCACAGGTTAAGAATAAATCTTCAACACTGGCAAAGTCAAGAGGCATTATCTTTAAAGGTCATAGTTGTGTAAAGAGATTTTGTAATGCCAGATGGGGAATGGGATTTTGAAAGCTTGCGGCATTACCTCCCTATAAAGGAGATAACGTTACTTTCAAAGACCATTGCCCTTGAGAATACGTCTATATCAGATAGGCCATATTGGGCTGTGTCTTCATCGGGGAAATTCAAAGTTTCCTCAGTTTATAATCATTTTATATGAATTGGAACGGTTTTACTTGGGCAATAATTTGAGCGTGTGGCACCTAGCATGGAAATGGCAAGCACCGGAGAGAATCAGAATGTTTTTATTACAATGCTTAACTAGTTGAATATTGACTAATAAGGAGGGCTATCGAAGACATTTGTCTAATGATCCGAATGGTCAACAGTGTTGCTTGGGAGAGGAATCAATCTTCAAATCCTTCGAGATTGTCTCGTGGCCAGTATAGTTAGGACTAGAGTTTTAGCTCCAAGTATGGTTGATTCATTCTTTAATCAATCTAATTTAGATTGGCTTCTGTTAATTTGAATGCATCCAAGACTAGGAATAATGCAGTCCCATGGGCAGTGGTTTTTGGAACAACTTGTTTGTTACTCTGAAAATGTAGAAATGCATTTGTATTTGAGAATACCTCTTATAGTATTGCAAGGAAATTGTTACAGATATACAGTTTACTGTAAGATATTCCCACTGTTGATTGTCAAACTTTGATAATGGTCGTATTACTTTGACTACGAAGGAAGAAATTCTTGTAGCTTGGAAAGCATCGCCAGTAGGTTGGATTTCTTTACATACTGACGATGCAATTCACATTTCCACTAGTCAGGCAACGGCAAGGGGAGTCTTCAGGGATTGGACTGGACAATGGCGTGGTGGTTGTGCCACGAGACTTTGGAAATGCACTGCTTATCGTGCAGAACTTTAGGGTGTATGTAGAGGACTTCAATTTGCATGGGAGGCAAGTTTTAGAAAGTTGTTGAGGCAATATCTTCCTCATTGCATCATCCATGCGTTAATTATGACTGGATTCAGGCTATTGACATATTGGTTAAGAGACAATGGGTGGTACATATTCGGCATGTCTACAGCGAGGGCAATATTACTGCTGATCATATGGCCAATAATGGTTTTTCCATTGAAGAACATCTTGTAAACTATAATAACCCACCTTCTATATTACGACATGTGTAACCCAACAAAATCAAACTTTTTACTCGAATTCTAATGCCCATGCGCTATGCCCATTGACACCCCTTTTCTTTCTTTTCTGTTCTTTCAACCTCTATGCCCATGCCCTGTAGAATGCCTATCGAATTCGTCCTCATCAGCATGGGCCTGGTCCTCAAGAGATAACTACTTTTCTTTCTTTCTCCTACAAGTTGTAAATTGTTTAATTGTCTTTTGCATTTTTTTTCCTCTAAAAGGCTTCATCGTAGCGTCCGCAACTGGCAACCAACGCTTTTCGAAGCATTGCTTTTGCCATTTGCTCAAAGAAATCAGCAACGGCCAAGAAGTTAGCCAAAAAATCAAAATGCGAGCTCTGCTTACTCCAGAACCTTCTCTTTCTTTCTCGTCAATCGGCACCAACTCTCGCAATCCCAATCCATCCCGAACTCGAACCTCGCTTCATTTCTTTACGAGAGATGGCGGCCACCGTTTGATTGGACGAAAATCGCGTTTGACCGCTACGAGAGCTGTGTTGGACTCCGCAACTATGGAGCAGTTAGGGCTTAAAGAGTCCGATATTAGAAACCCGGCGATTTCTTCCACGTATCGGAACTCGAAGTTGCCGAAGCCAAATCAGACCGTGCTGGAAGCTCAAGCTAGGGTTTGCACTGGACCCACGCAGACCAGACCGCTCTCCGAGGAACAGGCTTTTAAGGTTTTGGACACCATTTTAAGATCAGGTGAAATGTTCGTTACTCCATTTCTTGCTTATAACTATAATTTTTTTGAAAGGTATGACTATAATTTTTATATTATTCTCTCGGAAATTAAAGCTTCTTAAAGTTAATGCACATTATTAAGTTTAATTAATGTCGTGAGTAAGGTTGATTTGCCAGAAAGTGATATATTAGAACTTGGAAGTTTTCAAGCAGATATAGTTTGGTCAAATTTGACGTGCCATGATTTGGAGTCTCTGTTAAAGATCGTAATTACGAAGAAATTATTTTCTATGGCTGAAGTTGGTTAGGTATTTTTGCATATGTTGGCAGTGAGGGGACAACTAAAAGATGAAGAACAAGTCTCAAAAGCACAACTTGGAGCATTCTTTGCTGGAATGACGATCCGTGCAAATGCCTTTCCTGAAGCGACCCAATGGAGTGAAGGAGAAAGCCGTGCACTGAACTTATTTTGGCCGCTTCTAGCACGGGAACTACCAGCTGATGTGATCTTCATTGCTGATCCTGAAGGGTCCTTATTGGGATCAGGAAGTTCAATAGGGCCTCAGTTTGTTGGGAATGGCACAAGTGAAATGAGATTGGTTGGTGCACTTAGAGAAATTTTGGCGGGAGGCCACCTTGGATACGAGGAAATCCAAGGTGTTCTGAGAGATGTTCTTCCATTGACATTGGAAGATGGAAAATCCACTGGAGTAAGTGAATCATTGCTTTCGGCATTCTTAATTGGTCAACGTATGAACAGGGAAACAGACCGTGAACTTAAAGCATACTGCCTTGCATTTGATGATGAACTTGGTATATGATTTAAAATATTTGTTTAACCTTTTTTTAGAAAGGTGTAAGTGGTTGAGTAATATCAACCAAATGAAATGTATTATCTTCTGGTTAATCTATTGAGCGATCAACAGGTATTCCTCCAGTTGCTGATGTTAGATCACTGACCCATTATGGTGAACCTTATGATGGAAACACACGTTATTTTAGGAGCACATTGTTTGTTGCCGCCGTTAGATCCTGTTACAGTGAATCTTCCTTGCTTCATGGTGTGGAATGGATGCCACCAAAGGTCAGCAGTACTTTTGTGGCATGTGAATCATTTTCTTTATTATGATTAATCCTGGAAAAAATATAAGTAGGTGTTGATGTTGAAACTACTGTAGGTCATCCTCTAAGGACAAGTTCATTTGAAAGTGAAGCATCCTTTTGCTGCTATACAATTGTTCTGAGTTTCAAAATATTAAAGTGCCAATTCTTGTAACATCAGTTATTATGCACACTCATTTCGCCTAATATTTCATCAATCACAAGGAAGCCATTCTTTGTTCAGGGGGGTGTAACTGAAGAACAAATGCTGAAGTTTATGGGAGCAAACACTAACTTATCCTTGCATCAAGCGAAAGAACTTATTGAGGTTGGCTCACACTTGCTCCTCTCTCTCTCTCTTCTCCCACCCTCCCTCCTTCCTTTTTCTCTTTCCTTGTTGAAACTTTCAAAAATGTTATTTCAGGATGAAGAGGTTGGTTTTGCCTACATGAGTCAACGTGAAGCTCGTCCATCTCTGTATGGAATCTGACTGAACGTATCTAATGCAGTTCTTTTTCTTTTACATTTTTGTGTGGAAAGACATTTTTGTTCCCCATTGCTATAAAAAAATGAAGAAAAAAAAAGTTGAAGAGAAAAAAAAAAAAACAAAATGGATAAGAGTTTATTATACATACATTTAACGTTTGAATCGCATTTCAAGTTCAAACAAAGTGTTTCTCCTGAAAATGGGACTAAAACTAGTCTATGCTTCTAACCAAAATTTTTTGAGTCCATGTTTTCAACTGCCAAGTGAATCTTGTTTCAGATAGTATCTTCTACTTTTATGTTTTATGATGTATAGTGTGTCTAGAAACTTGGTACTTTTTATGTTACGCTACTGTGGCTTCTTTGAATAAAGTCCTATCTATGATCTTACTCTGGTTGAAATCGAGTTCTTGAGCACCTAAGACATTGATCTCATTAAGGTTGGTAGTTGGGCCATAATTCCACATTTTTCTTCCTCTGTTCCCCAAATTTTAGATGTAAGTATATCCTTAATTAAGTACTGTATTAATTAATGGTCTATTTGGTGAAAGTTGGTTTTCATTTTGTAAGACATAACCTTATCGAATTGGAAACTCTAATATTTTGGTTTTTCAGTGAGAGGGTTGGTCTTGATTTGATATTCTATTGTATCATGGGTTCATAGGTGTAGCTGGTTATGTTTTTCCTGTAACTAAAATGAAGCAGGTAAGAATCTTTTATGGTTTTCACAGATATTCATTGATTGGATTGAGAGAGCAAATAAAGAAACGCCCACCACTGGCAACAACTGAAAAGGTTCAGCAATTTATTAGGGTAAGCATATAGATGGATAGTAATGTTAGTTGCGTTAGTTTAATATATTGTACATATTATGTATGATATGGTATGGATGTGTATATATGTTATGCTCTCAAAGGATGCTTAATCTGGCTAAAAGTTTGCATGGCATCTTGTCCAAAGAAATCGTGTTCTGTGCTACAGCTTTTTATACTGGTTAAAATGTCCTAAAATAGACTGGTGTGCTTATTTTACGAATGATGTTGTTTCTCTAACAGGCAAAGGGGAGGGAATCAATTGTTGCTGGATTTTATCATGAAGGTTATGAGGAGCCCTTGCTAATGCTTATGAAAAGAAGAGGTGTACATTCTGGTTTGGTAGTGAAGGTTAGAACTTTACCTTTATGAAACAACAAGAAGACAAACAAAGCCTTTTCCAACTACTGGGCTTTGGCTTTTTGGCAACTTCACCTGTATAATAGAGGTTAAATATGAAAATGTTTCGGTTAAGGAGAAATAAATAACATAGGATTTACCTTCTATGATATTCAAGATTTTTAATTTAGTTTAAACTCAGAAGAGTTAAAAAATAATCTGAACAAAACACTTTTGAGACTTTTCTTATTTAAGGGAGAAGAAGGTGCCCTCTCAATGACAACTAGGTTGCGATCGGCAAACACATCAAAAGGACTTCCTGTGAACTATTGTTCAGGTTTTCGTTCAGTAGGCATGGAATCAGCTTGTGAAGTGGATGGTTGGTATTAAGCTGCGTCTTCTCTAATCCAATTTAAAAGTTATAAAATCCTCTTTTTGGTGTATTCTAAAGTTTTGTGGATATTTATGGAACTAGGATTATGAGCAGAATTGATGCGTCCAATATCCTAACATTGCAGGTGTATCACGGCAGAGTTTCAGGCTTGAGGTTAATGCTATGGACTATGGTTTTGAACCAACTGATACTCCAAGAACTGATAGATCGGTAAAATTTTGAAAATCCTTCACTATTAGCTTGATCATTCTCTGCCTTTGTAGTTGTTTTATGTCAACTGAGTGATGCACTTGCAGGATGCTTCAAATTCCTTGCCTATTAACTTGCAGCTTTGTTTGTTAATAAGGTTGCAAGTGGAATGTTGAATTACATTGTTTATACTTCCAACTGACACCCTAACAAGTTATAAATCCTGATTTATGGATAACAAAAATCTGCGCCCCCCCCTCCCCTCCTTCTCCCCTTCCAACCAGCCACCCCCAGTAAGGGGCAGAAGAAACTCCTCTTTCCCTTTTGTCTCTTCTGTTTGTCATTTTAGAAAACCCAGGGTCATTTGAATGTGTTTGCTGCAATACCAGGTATCAAAGAATATAGAGTTGGGTCTGGCAGCTCTGCAGGGCCAAAAAGGGCCAGCATATGATCGAATTGTTTTAAATGCCGGAATTGTGGATCATTTACTAGGATGTGATGGTGCAGAAGATGTATCCTTAGCTCTTGATAGAGCCAGAGAAGCCATTGACAGTGGTAAGGCGCTTAAGAGGCTCCTACATTACATAAAGATGTCGCACAAGGGAAAATGAATCAGTATGAAGAATGAAACAGTTCTTGCCTCCTTTCAATTCTTGTAGATCAGTGTTGTAAAATTAATAAAAGTTGTTAAAAGAGGAAAAGATAGAAAGGGGAATCTTACAGATTTTCTTTTTTGGGTTTTCGTTTTTAATAGCAATAAAGTTTTTTCCTGTGTAAAATTTTTGTATTAGTCTGTCAATTTTGGTTCTTGAGAAGTAAATGCCTTATTGTTTTTCTTTAATCGGGAGATGTGGATTTGTGAATTTTGGTGGAATATCAGTATACTACTACAGATTCAAAATCCTGTATTTAGTGGATTACATTTGTAATTCTTCTGCTTTTAGTTCCTAGAAACCACAGTTGCATAATTTAAAATGGGTGGATCATAATAATGAGTAATGTCATTTTCCAAACACAACCTGCCGCTGCTTTGCTTTGCACTTAAACAGATTGGATGTTAGAGCTACATTTACGTGGTAAGTGCAATGGTTCCCTCTCCCAGACTCCTATAAGTATTCATAAAAAGTCTAGATGAACAGCATTTATTCCATCTATCAAAGCAAAAGTTGCTAAAACAACCTAGCTAGGTTATTTCTGCTGCCGAAAGAGATTCTCATCTCATTATTTTTCCACAGACAACTGGCTTGAATTCACTCAATGTATGTAAAGAATGATTTGTTAGTGACTTGAAGTGTTCTCATATCTGAAGAGCAGCTGCAATGGAACCGGCAAGGCTAAGAATTTCAAATGGAGGTTTGCTCATCACCGCTTTCACTGTCTGAGGGCATGAATCAGTGATCCAGAAGTAGGTCAGCCCATTCTCAGGATGCCCTACATAAATTGAAAGAACATCAGGCAGTAGCCGATTAAACTAAAACAGGAACTGCAGAAAACTGCCAACCGCAGTGATAGCAAAATTTCTTCGACTCTTTTGTTTCCCACTTGATGATATAAATAGTCAGCATATAAATGCTGTGACTATATCATGAATAATGTCTGCTAAATGGTAATTCAAGGAGATACTAGGATTATCACATGTTATTAAGTAACAATTATAAGTTTGAGTTATTTTTGTTTATGGAAATTCATTCTCTCTCTCCCTCTTTTTAATATGAAAATTCGTTCTCTAAACTCAATACCTCTGAAGATATTTAGGGTTCAAGTTCTCCTTTAGTTTACAGATCCTGAAAATCATCTCGATGACATCAACTATAATATTCTAAACTCAGTAAAGAGTATCTGGTATTATATTCAGTTAATTATGTTTGAAAAAGTAAGTCATCACCACAAAGCAATGCTTTTCTTTTCTCCTTTTATTAAAAAAAAACATTTGTAGGAATGCGTCTTCCAAAATGCTACTGTATAGGTGCATGCAATACCTCCATTATCACGTTCAAAGCGTTGCCATGACCTGTTAGGGAAAATTCCATGCGTCACATAGGCACTTATTTTTGCTGCTCCATTGGCCGCCAATACTCTCTGAAAGAGATGGACATGATGAGAAGTTAAATAGGAATTGCAGACTTTACCATCCATGAACAAGAAAGAGATTTCTGTTGCCTATTTCCTTTCCTTTTGCCTCTTGCAGAGATGAGGATTTAACCAAGGTTGGATGTTGGAATATGAACTTAAAAAGACGAGTGAAGAGGAAATCCTAGTTAGGAGTTACATACCTGGCATTCAATCAGAGTGCCACCTGATTGAACCAAATCATCAACAATCACAACATGGCGTCCTGCAGCTTCTCCCTCTTTAATACGCACAATTCGTTGGTCCCCTATCCGAACTTTATTACAAACAATCTGTTATCAGTTTGAGAAGGTTATGCCAACATCCATATGTAATAAACAAGTTTTTGAGCAGTAAGAATGAGAGGTGTATGCACAGTTTTACAAGACAAAGCTGAACAATCATCTAGATACAACTCTAGTGCAGAAGGAAGACCTAGGTCACATCTACAAAAAAGAAGAAGAGAACGTATTCTCTTGTAATCCCCCCACAGATGTGGTGTCACTTATGTAGGATCCTTCTTTTCCCATCAATTGAAAGGTTACTTCCAGATAATGTCCATCCATTTTATTTCAGTTTACTGAAACAAGTAAGAGCATCAAAGAACAAGTGGTAATGGAATACTACCTGCAATCGCATGCTGTTTGTATTCCAAAATTAGTTACAACCTAGATGTCACAGAAAACAACACAGCACCGAAAACTGAACCGTAACATTCAATCTTATGTACTTATAACCACATCATAAAATGGCAGACCAGAAACATATTATGCTAGAATTGTGCGTCTCTCAAACAAATTATTTAGGCCTTACATTTGCTCTAGCCTGATACTAAAGCTCGAAACACAGCACTCTTTTGCAATATTAGATTTGATAAGATAGATTCCAAGAAAACATGAACCCAAGAGATAAATCTCCTCTTTGACAAGGTCAAATGCTTGCCCTAAGATGCCTGCCTGCATAGGTTTCAATGTATTAAAAAGACTCTTCGGGCTTTTTCTTCCATATCCAGCATGGTTTTCCTAAATGTGAGTATGCTGTTACTTAATGTGCTGTCTGAAGTGGTCAAATCAATTAGTCATTTTCAATCTAGATCACAAACTTTCAGCTTATTCACAATCAATGCTTTATAGGTAAAATGAAGTATAAAAAGTTTTAAAAATGTACAATGATTCACTAGTGCGAACAAACAATAAGATCTGACACTAGTAGGCTAGTGACTTGATGGATGAATAAATGTGTGATAAACACAACTTCAAATGAGGCAGATCATCCTTGTTTGTTATGCAGATCTTATATACCGTTGGAAAATGTTGCAGCTGCTTATGAAATCTTTTCCAAGCACCATCATCAGGAAAAGCAATGGATATCTGAAAAATGAAGAAAATTATAGCAGAATATTAGAAATTTAAAACAGTTTTAAGAAAATACTCCTTCCAACATATAGCGTGACCCGTAACATAATCCAAATAAATTTAGTGAAGAACAAAATCTCTATGAAAGTTGACTTAGATTCAACTTTTTAAAAATGAGTGTAAGACCTAATAACTGAAGGGGTAAAAACTAAAAGGGCAAACCCTTCTCAACTTGAGAACTTCAAAAGCATAGAAATCGTATATGGGAGAGCCATAACATATACTATCTCACCATCCTTAAGAATTCTATATTTAAGGTTTCATTACAACATTATCCAATTAAACTATAACAAATCTCACAAACAGAAGCACAAACAATAACTATCACTTGACTTGGAAAAAAAAAAGCATAGACCCAACAATACAGGGTATAACCTTACGTTGTCAGAGTCAGGGAGCTGTTGAAGCCTATTCTTAAGCAAAGGTATCCCACTCTCAAAGCAAGGCAATATATTATCACCAAAGTAGAATCTCTCCTGAGAAAACACGAAAAACAAGTCAAAACCTTTTTCAAAGAAATGATCAGAAACATAGCTTCTAAACAGACAGAATAAAACATAAGAAGATCAAAAACAGAACCTGCAAAGCATGGATATCAAATGTCACTAAGCTTGTAGGCCCTCCTCTAGAAGTCGGTATATTCGACAATATCCTAGCGAGAGTAAAAGCCGTCGCGACATCTCCCTCGTCCTCCATTCTCTCAGAGGTTCCGGTAGGGAAAAACGGGAGAACTAGCGTGAAGGAGGAAATGAACAGCTTCGGCAATGCATAGATAACAGATAACTGCTCGAAAATCACTGCCGGCGAACTAAATGAGGCTAAGAAGGCTACATGTTGTCCCCGAATTCCGTGTGCATTTGGTATAAATAAGTTAGGAAATCCATCTTCAAACGTCCTAAAATAAATATATAATTCAACTTAGCAACCATTTCTCTAAAATGTTAACATTAAATGGAAATTTAATGATAAGGTTACCGCCAGTTGATGCTGCGGAGCTCAATGGCGTCTGACTCAGCAGCAATTCTCTCGGCGAGCGCCTTGGTCTCGCCGCAGTAAAAAAGGCACACTTTTTTGACGGTTTTAACGGCGGAATCGGAGGCAGAAGCGGCCGCCATTGACATCGAAGAAGAAGGAGAATTTTGGATCAAATGGATCGGTTCGGTTCCGGAGAGGAACTCGACGCTCCAATTCGGAGGTTGATTTTCAAAGCTCTTAATCTGACACCGAAAACGACTGCATTTCTTGTCGCTTAACAAAATCGAAAACGGTTTAGAAGAAGTGAAGTTGGAGAAGATCTTTTTTCGGTTTTGGAAAGAGGATGGAAGTGGTGGCGACGTGGCCGCCATAGCGGCCGTCACACTGTTACGTGGGTTCTCGGAGAGGGGACGCTAATTTTCCTCTTTCTTTGTTCTGACTCGTAGTAGCATTTGTTTTGAGGTTCCAGCTGTTGGCGTTGGGGTTGTTCTCTGTCGGTTTAAAGAACAAAGGGGAGGATGAGTTGACCGTTGATTCGGTTCGGTAGGATTTTTTTGGATTTCCATAAATACCCCATCCCATTAAAATGGCACGTTTTTCTCGCGTGTTCAACTGTGATTTTAGTAACCAAACGCTTCACGCCTCGACTAAATTATCTAGGCAGTGGTTTTGCTGACTTAATTCTCTATGAAAGGAAGTTTGATACGTGATAAATCAGAGATTTCAATAATTGTTTATATTTTAACAGAAATAATTTACGTATGCATCTGTATAAATTCGGTGCTAATAACGTTATAGTTATAGTTTAAATATAAAATATAATTAAATTTTTTTAAATAAATAAATTTTTATTTTTTTATTATATTTAATTAAATATTTATATTTATATTTTAAATTAAATATATTTTTATAATTAATGATTAATTAATCGTTATTAATCAAAACGTCACATGTCATTTTATAAAATGTGATGTTGATAGGACATGTTAATCACATGTTATGATGAATACTAACGTAACATATTAATATGATATAATGATATGATTATATGACATTTTTCATCATCTATCTCAATGTTATGTTAACATCACATAAAAATAAAAATAACAAGTGACGTTTTAATTAATAATAGTTAAGTTAGTTATAAGTACATATTTGATCCAAAATAAAATTATAAAAACTTTGATTGAATTCAATAAAAAATAAAAATTTATTTGAACTTTTTTTAATAATTCAATGACTTTTTAAAGCATTATGCCATTATATAAAAAAGATAAACAGTTTAAATAATTCTAAATAGAGATATAAAAAATTTTGTTCTTAAAATTTAATATTATTTTCT